GATAAGGGACTCTTTGAGTCGAACGTCTTCCTCTTACGTTGCCCCGCTACAGAAGCAGTCGGATAGTGAAACGAACTAAAATTTGTGCTAAAAAATATTCTGGGAAAAAAGTCAGGTGTTGACGCCGACGTTTTGACCGGTTGCTCAATATATTTCTTATGAAAGTTATAGAATCAAAGTTTTGGAACAACAGTTGTCAGAAAAAGGGTCATTCCTTTGGGTCCAAAAATTAATTTTAGTGGAACCGTGGAGGGTCGAGTTCATTGGAACAAAGTATTTGGGCCATTTATCGGTAATATGTCTGTCATTAATACAAAATATATCCAGATTGTAGCTATTTCAAAGGTCGTGCTGTTCCAAGAACCAACGCTCTCTAATGATACTACAGTAAAAGTCGGCTCCAGTGCGACATCATCAAATGTAGGGTCGACACCCCTTCTTCTAAAGTACGAAATGATTCTGTTAATTGGATCGCTAGTCAAACAAATAAAAAAAAGTATAAAATAATACTGTAGAATAAACGATTTTTTGAAAAAGCAAACAAAAGCGCATTTCATTCATCAAAGCTTTCATCTTGGACGTCCGAAGCATCATCGACAACAGCAGCTTCTGGCAGTGCGTGTAGGTACGTTGCGAAGACATCGGACATATCTCTAGGACCTATAGGAAGCAATTTTGCCTTTCGAAAACCGTCATCATTAAAATTAAGCACTTCGTAGTTACGCAAAGTTTGCGGTTTTTTTTTTCATTTCTGAAACATATTCAAGAAGCCTAGACATCACAGCTAATAGCTTAGAAAAAAAAACTAGAAAATGAAAAAAGCCCAATCCTCTTTTCTAAAGGATAGCGCGCTCGCTGTGCCTCATGTGCCTGTGGATTTACGCAGAACTTGCTTCCATTCTTCTTGTCACCTTCTAGTTTTGGCTTTTGCTTTCTCCAGCGGTATATAGACGAGCGATTCACACCCATCTGTACCGCGACAGTGGTTACAGAGTTTGCTTTTGAGCCTTCGACTCCCTATCAATATTACATTAAAGATGACATAGAATTAAGTATGAGGTATGTGATACGCGATTACATACCTTCAGCTTGACTTTGTTCTTGTTCTTAGGGCGGCGATTCATTGTGTGCTTGTGGGATATGGGGTGGAAGGCGGGAAATTTGCAAAATGGAGCGCCACTCGTTGTGAGGATGGGTGTCGCTCAAGCGAGTCATTTAAAAAACCGCGTAAGGTTTTTAATGACTTGATTTTTACCGCTAATCGGTGTTGCACTGGAGCCGACTTTTACGATAAGTTAGTCGTTACTAATACTAGTAGGAGAACGGATTGCTTGTTGTCGTGTTGCCAGAAGTCGGCATTATCTACGGACATTTCGTGACGATGTGTCATCGCCGCTGTTTTTATCAGATGATCTACTGCACCCCTGGAACGAACCGAACCCGAACCGCCGTTCTAGTGTTTTCGTCGAACCTGGACCGGGAGGGAACCCGGTTCTACCAAAACGTCCCCGAACTGAATCGTTGAAAGAGCGCGGCTCGTTCCATGAATCCGAGCTTCTCATTGGCTAGCGTTCTACAATTTCATTGGCCATTATTATTCTGGCTACCAGTGATTTAGATCTGCACTTCCACCATTTTAGCTTTAACACTATCCGCGCACAACAATAATGGACAACCTCCCGATCATCGAGCTGCCGGAGCACTACCGCATCGACGGCGAAAAACTTGGGATGGCGCTCGCTCACATGTCGGCGCAGGCAAACGGCATCGCAGAGCATCAAGCCAAGCTCCAGCAGCGACAGTCGCTCCATGAAAAAGAGCAGCAGCGATTTATCGAGCAGCGCGTTGCAGCCGCGCGTGAGGAGGCAGAAGCCCGGTGTCAGGCCCTTGTTCTTGCCATCCAGCAGGCCTACGGTGACCCATCGATACTAGAGCTTCGCTTCGACGCGCGCATCCAAACTGTCCTCCAGTAGCTACAGCACGGGGCTCAAGAACAAGCTCGAGCTTCAGCAGAGGCTCAATTGGCCGATCAAGCAGCGCTACGTCAACTCATGGAGCGGCGAATGGACGCTGCTCTCCAGCAGATTGAGCAAGAGGCCAGCCTGCGTACTGATCGTCACATTCAGGTCATGCGCGAAGACATGCACAAGTACGTGGAGGATCGTTTCCAGGTAGCCATTCGGCGCTCGGACGACACTGCGTTGGCGCTCGTACGAGAAGAGCTGAAAACCCGCCGTGCGGATCACCACGACCCCATCACACGGTCCGAACACGGGTTGTCGAGTTGGTCCGAGGGATCCTGGAAAAGTACGATAGCGCTACAAGGGTCCGTCAAGAACAGGAGCGCGAAGCGCTCACAGATCGTGTTGAGGCGCGGCTTCGCGACGCGGTGGTAGTAGCGAAAACCGCTGCGGTAAACAAGGTCCGCGATATGGCGGTGCTGAGGGTGAGCGAAACAGTGCCCTCGGGCCCAAGCGCCATGACTGAGACCGCATCTACACAAACGGCAATTGCGGAGCCAACATACAAAGCAGTCACATCCACCAAGTCCAGACCAAGGCTCCAACGTAGGCTGGAGCGGAGGGTGCGGGAACAAGAAGACAGTGTAAAAAAAGCCGATGCAGCTCGAACTCGGCGTCAGCCGGAGCACAGAACCCATGCTAAATGGAGCGTATTCGGCAAGAAGCCCAGGAAGCTGTACGGAGTCGGGCTCCATCTCGAGCGGCAGAATTGATGAACACAAGACCCAAAGCAAAACACAAACAGCAACACCATTAATATCCACGAACTGCATGTATTCATTTCCTCGGTTTCAGCTAGACTTCGCCTGTATCTTCATTATCCAAAGTACCTAAATTCATACTTTCACCAGAAAAAAAGTTAGCCATGGACCCGAACTCGGCATCCAGGTCTTGCACCATGTTCACCAAGACGTTGGAGGGCAACCGTGCTCCTGCGCATTTTGGTGATAGCTTCGGGCACTGGATTATGTCGACGTAGCTCCTGTTGCAGTTCAAAAACGTAGCCATATCCACGTTGTATGGTGCCAACGAGCTGCGTTGCGGCGTCACCATTCTCCCAGCCGCTCCGAAGTCCCTCTCGATTTGGGCCGAAGACGAGGGCATCGAAAACAAAACACGCGCCACCAGAGGAAGAAATCGGAAGTTTCCCTGCTCCTGTTGGCGTTTCCAGGAGCTAAGAACCGGTTCAACTTCATCTGGACGTATAGCTCGCAACGAAGTGGGCTTTGTAAGCCAGCGGTCAAGCTCTTCATCCACTGGCTGCGTGTGCATCAAGTTACGTGTC